TGGCGGGGCCTGTGGGGAAGGAGGAGCCGTGCCCTCCCGGCCTCCTCAGCCGCCCCTCCTGGGGGCGCAGAGCCAGCCCCCCCCTTGCTCCCCTCTGCCTCCGCCTTTCCTGACTTGCTGCCGTATACTTTCCTTCGGTTGTTTGTCACGCAGCTTCTCTAAAAGCTCTGGCTGCGGCCCCATGTTGGCGTTACCTGGTGGGGCGCCCTCAGCCCCTCTCCGGAATAGCACCTGTAACGTAGGGTGAAATACCAGCCGGGCAGGGCTTCCCGGATTGCCCTGTGTCTCTCCCATACTGTGTGATTTCCCTGTAACGACAGGACGTTTCTTTTAATTATGTGGCGTAAGTAAAACTGTCAGTAGTGTTAATTGCACTGAGTTCTTCCCCTAGGTGTGAATCGCCATTTCCACATGATTTGTATCCGAGATAAATTCAGTCAGAATATCGGACGGCAGATTTCTTCCAAAGTGATTTGGGACCATCTGAGCACCATGTATGATATGCAAGCTCTTGTGAGTATAGAGGGTTGGTGCAGCCATGTTCTTATTTCCTATGGTTCAGGAGTTTTGGTAGGCCAAAATCACTGTGCCTGTCATAGCTTTCATGGTACTAAGAATTACATGTCGTTCCAGTGGGTCGATGGCGTTTTCCCTGTATAAAAGTACATCAGATGGGAGACAATAAAACCTGCAGTGGTTTGTGGTTGGTTTTTTTTTTCCCCCCCATACTGTGTTCTGACTTTGTTTATTAAAGTTGCCTAAATGCTGATCTGGCAAACGTTTGCTTAGGTACTTCAGAGTCAAATAAGGAGGTTATAGTGCGTTTACCTAAGAATTTGCCATGTTTGGGTTCCCAAAATGATCTCAAATGACCACGAGTCATAGTCTCGGATATCTTGACCTTAGTAATCAGTTTGACATCAGGAGCCTTCTGATTCTCTAATGTCTGAAGTGTCTTGTTAAGAATTATTTAGCTACTAATTGCATCTAAAATAGAACTTGAGATTGCACTTCTAAATCCAAATTAAAGTTTTTACCAAAGTCATTCATAGAGATCTTTCTTTTCTTTCAAAGCATGAATCTGAGATTCTTCCGTTCCCTAATATAGAGAAGAATTTTGCTCTTCCTGACGAAATGATTCAAGAAGTGAGAGAAGGTGAGATGTGATAGCAGTCTCTTATTCTTGGTTAACCTAATCTCATCTCAGAACGGGTAGTTTAACAAAACTCCCCCCAAAAAAGAACGTAACATGTCAATCCAATGCCATTCTTTCAGGCTGGTGTGTGAGGTGTATCAGGAAAAGGAAGTGTTAAACAGATACAGGTTTATCTCATGAATTTTTAATCAGCTGACTGAAGGACACTGTCAGGGAGCACTGTTTGTGCTGTTCATATTGTCATTATCAGCCTCTGTGTGACTGACCACTGTAGGAGACGGGCTAGCGGGAGAGATAGACCTTTGGTCAGATGCCACACAGTACTTCTCATAAATATAACGTAGGTGGGATGCTAATACCGCACACACAGGATCTGCTGATACCATTTAGATTCAACTTCTCCTTCTGGGTATACACAGAAGATCCGTGTGCTTCAATCAGTTTGCAGCGTGAAAGGCAAAATGTGATTCTTTGCAAGGTGATTAGTAGTTTATTGTGGGGTTTTTGCACTTTGTTGAGATGGCTGTAATATTGCTTCAGACCATAATTTTTGCTAAAACAGATGATCTGCACAGTTTCATGTGGTTCATTTTGTAGAAGATCATGTTTTAAAGAGTAGGAGCTATAGAGCTGATGAAAATAATGTTTTCTACGTTTAATTTGTATGTAATAATATTTCTGTGATAACATTTTCTGTACCGATGATGATATAAGGCAGCTAAATAGCAATTCAGCTAATGTTTAAAAATGTACACCAGGAATATACTTACTGAATGGCTGCAGTTTCAATAGCTGGCGAAACTTGCTTTTTGGCCGTGGACTTGTACCTTATGCAGGTATAGCCATCTCATTTTTAGGCTATTACTATTTTTAATATGGTTCATTTGTCTTATTTTTAAAAGCGTTACTGGTTTTTAATGTCCAATGGTAGATTTTTCATGAGTTTTTTTTTCCTCTACTTGCGTTAAAATTGATTGAAAACAAAATCAATATGAAACGTTTAGAGGCATTTGTATAGATTCATGATGGTTTCCTTGCGCTGTGAAATCATCTCTTTGTGTTTTTACCTTCTTGGGATTCAGCTACCTCATTCATCCAAATCTCTCTCACTTGTGATAAGCCTATCTGTATTGTCTAATCTAATAGAAATATGCAGCAGTTTGACAGAAATCTTAAGTTGAGCAGTGAGAGCTGGATTTTCAAAGTTTAGCTATATCTGTGTTACTTAGTACTGTTATCCAAGGCAGGAGCTAGGAGGTTCAGGCATCTGCCAAAGGAGTTCTTGGGATATTCTAAACTACAGTGGAATGCTTCTCAGTTACTAAAAATTCAGTATAGAATCATAATATAGCTAAGACCTTGCGATATGTTTTGCCTGTTTAGCATTTCACTTTCTTCGTGTCAATAACGTCAGTGGAACTTGTTGACATGAGACGTCATCTTGTTCGGTGCTTTACATGACGCTCGTAGTATGGCTGGACTGTTAGCTATGTTTCTGTATCACCGTGCTGAGGAACCTTTCTAAATTATGGCTGAATGTTACACGGAATATTTGTTAACATTATGCACATACGCCGAGGCTGCTAATCCAGAAAAAAATACATACGGCCCTTTAAAACCATCTAACCATTGCCTAACAATCCTGTCTGTAGGAAAAGTAATGATAGAAGAAGAAGTGAAAGAGGAAATAAAAGAAGAGATGGAAACGCATGCAGGTCCAGAAGAAGGTAAATTTGTAACTCTCTACTGTGTAATACGAGATTAAAAAACAACTGTAACTCTGAGAAATTAATGTTAAAATGTAAATCCCAAATATGGTCTACATTGTGATTTGTATTCAGACTTAGCGTATGCTCATGCCAAGAACTAGAATAATTTAAGAATGCACAGAGTAAGCAGTTGCCAATATCTGACACTTCAAAAGATTTCTCCTTCGCTCCTAATTCATATGTGCAAAGTTGTATAGCTTTGGAGTTTTTTGGTTTTAATATGTACTTGACAGAACCCTGGGAGTCTGAAGTAATCTAAGGATCTCTGAAAGAAAGTTGAGTCTGGTTTTAGCCAACCTAAATACTCTGTGTTAGGATCTTTGTAGTTACGGGAAAAACAGGGCCTATAAATCAAAAAAGACTGTAAGATTGTATGCTTAAATCGGAAGGCGGGCAGAGTGGGTTTTTTATTTTATTTTATTTGCACTATCTTGCTGCTTGTAAATAATAAGGCTTCTTTTCCTAACACTTTGCTGTAGAACAGAGTCAAATGTGAACAGTAGAGATCCTGCTATTTACCTTAACAGACCAAGCCAACTGTTAACTATATAATTTCATAATATTTATATCACAGAATAAGTGGTGTTTTAAGATTGAGTGTAATAAAAGATCTAAAAATGTATTTTAAAAATATATTAAATTTCACATTTTGAGTGTTCAGTTTTAAAATCTATCGATAATACTGAATGTAATGACCGTTGCTGATTATAAATTTCATAGATTGGTCCTATGTTCTGTAAGTGTTCCTATTAAGTATTTTAAGTGCTGTTTAATTCCACTTAATGAATTTCATTTTTAGCCTGTCAAAATACATGCCTGTCTTTAAAGCAAATAATAAAAGCAAGATGTGCCTTTCTTACAGAAGATTTTTCCTTTAAAAGTGAAAGTAATACTTAAATGGTGGTTAAATATGCTGAGAATTGATTGGTTTGAAAAGTTTTGTGTAATATAAAGAAATTTGATATCACTTCTTGTTTGCCTATGTGTATGACTCTGATCTGGAATCATTACTTTGATCCTATTTCAGTTTTTGCACCCTCTGGAAGTTTAGGAAAAGCAACTGAAAAGCCGAGCAGCAAAGAGAAAGAGAAAACTTCATCAGATTCTGGGTCCAAAGAAGGATCTGATAAGAGGAAGCGCAACAGAGTGACTGAAAAGGTCTTAAATGCAAACAGTAATCCTTCCAGTCCAAGTGCTGCAAAACGACGCAGAACATAAAGCAAGCTGTGAAAGAGAGAAGTAATAAACTCTGGAACATGAGGAGGGAACAGTAAAAATGAGTAGCAGGATAGTCGCTACGTAAACTTTTTGAGAAAGGAAAAGATATCTGAGCCAGGTATTTGAAGAATCTGCACATTGGCTTTATACATGCAAGACTTTGTCCGTCTTTCCTGATGTGTTTTCTAGCCAGCACCGAGTAGCTGAGCGATGGCTGCCTTCTCGGGGCGTTGGGGGAGCAAGCTGGCAGCGTTAAGAGTTTATGCGTACGTAACAATTCCGGTGGCTGCATTTTGGACAGGTAACACGCTCTGTGTCAGCATAGTTCCTGAAACAAGTGCTCGGTGAAACACAGAGCCTCAGTTCATGAAAAGCATAGGTTATTTCTATAAATTTGGGGTCGTTTTTTCTGCCTTTGCTTTGTTGCTGTTTTTGAATATTACAGACCCTTTGTGGGTAGCGGTGTTTGGCCATTTTACTTACTGCAAACGTAACGTTTGTATCAAATGTCTGGATTTGTTGGTTCAGTAAAACTAAAATTCTTTTAAATACAGGTAACTACTGAGTTGAAGTATTCTTTCGCTCTGTTTGCTGGAGGAACCTTTACTTCTTTCGCCCTTAGTCACGTAACGTTTTTCAATCTTTATAAGTTTATATACCGTAAGTGAAGTGAAAATGGTAATGCCCCGTGAATAATAATAATAAGTATCCTAAATAGAATACGCAGTGATGTCACGTGGTTTTGTAAGGGATCAGCTGAGCTGTGCATGAACCTGGAGATGTTAATTCATCCGTTTGTACTATAGTAGTATATAACAGTGGGTTTTGTACTTCATTATTTATTTTTTTTAAAGCAGGTTTAGTAGATGTTAATGGAATTGGTATTCCAAAACGTTGATTTTGTTCTACAACTTAAGATTATCTTACTGACATTGTAATGCTTATCTTTTATATGCTAGAATGTTGAGATTTGATAGAAGTTACTATTTTTGTGTTGTGAAAAGATGGACCGCAATCAACAAACACGTTAAATGGTGAATGAAGTAGGCTGAAGTGTTACTGAATTTGTTTCACCATATTAACTATCAGTTAATAAAAAAGAAGAATTACTTCCTATTCTACCAGTATTGCCTTCAAGGTGAGGAACTAGGAATCTACTCGTTTTTGCTTCTATTCTAGGTGCGTAGCCAAGGTCTCGTCTGCCTTATTTGCTTCGTTTGTTTTATACCAAGAATAAATTTGACTTGTCTTTATTTTACTAAATGGTAATTGTTGCATAACTTGGTTAAAATTTGGTCCAACTTATTTTTAAAGTTGTTTAGGTATCTTGTGTCTTTAGTGAAATTGGTCAAAAGTGCCTACCTGGTGGCTTGTTTTTTTTACTTTGTCTGGATCGTAGGAACTACTGCCCTGTTATTTCTCTGAGATATTTGGTGAGAAATCCTGACCCGCTGAAGTCAAGAGACAGGTTGCTGTAAGTTTCCACACTAGAGGATTTTCTCTGCTCTAGCTAGCATAACGCAGCTGTGAAGTTCTGAGTTGAGAAGATGAAGGGTGTTGTCGCAGCCTTGTGGAAGCTCGCCTGTTTACCCTCTCATACGCACTGGTGAGCTCTAGAAGGTCAGAACTCTGCCAGGATGGGCACTATAACCGCTTTCACAGCGTGATGCGATCTCACTGGTTTAGGGTCTGAAATAGCGGGGCATAAACAAATTCCGAACCAGAAGGCGTGAAATGCCATGAATTTAGTGCTGTGCTCCAAGTGACAAGCCTTGCAGGAGGTAACCTACCCGCCGGAGAGCTCCACGGAGCTCTGGTTTGAGGGGGAGATGCTACAGGTGTCTCGGAGGTTTTCGGGGGGGGGCAGAAATCGAACTTTTATAACCTTACGCGAGGAAGCTCCTGGTTTTAATTTTGACATTTAAGAAAAGTGCTCAGATTAACGTATTTGTTGCTACTCCCAAGTTGCAGAAGTTGTAGTCACATGTCACGTACAGGTCTGTCATCTACGTGCTGAAAGATGAATGCCTCTTAATTCTTAAGGAAACAACAGAACGTGAGGCGCTGTTTACTTTGTCGTGATCTACGTGGATCTTGGCCATAAAGTGCAGATTTTGTAACTTTCAAGTCTCACGGCCTTGTGGGTAAACCCTGTTCAGCCAAGGGGTCTATTAAAAATCTCTTTGCTATACCAATGAAATGGGGTTTTTTTTATAGCTTCAGGTAGAAATGCATCGGCAGGGACGCGCAGTGGCGCAGCCTCTCAACACCATCCTCCAAGCAGGGAAAAGTCCACTTGGGATTTTCCATTTTGGAAAGTCCAGCAATGCGGATTTTTTTTTTAGGAATTTGTTGGCGGCCGCGTTAGGCATTTGGCAGGCGGAAATGCTTTGAACGACCCGAGTGCTGCAGCTCCCTTCTCCCTCCCCTTCCACCGAGTCCTGCCGTTCCTGCCTTCGCTCTCCCCTGAGGGCGGCCGGGCCGCGCCTGTGCCGCGGGAGGGGGCGAGACGGGCGGCTCTTGCTGAAGCCCTCGCTCCGCAGGACGGGGGAAAGCTGCCGTTGCTGCCGCTGTCTC